AAATAAAAAAAAAAAAAAAAAAAAAGTTGTGAAGATCACCATAATGGAAAAAGAAAATGTTTAAGAATCGTAACCTTTTGTTAGTCACAGAGCTTATTTTCTGCAATAATCCAAAAGCCAATGGAAAAGTTGAGCTTTGAATGCAGGGAGTTTTATTTGGTGCCCCTACATTTTTTTCAAGCAAGTGTAACTACTGCTCCCAACCACAAGGTGGCCTCAGTGTCTGTGACATGGGACACGTGCTGTTTTTTTGTATGTAATGAACACAGTTCTGCTGCTGTCTTTGACTCTAACAGCATATGAACTAGAGGTCGACCGATAGTGGATTTTGCCGATACCGATAGCTAGGTTGGACCACACTGGCCGATACCGATTAATTAACCGATTGTTTTTAAAATGGATACGGAACAAAAACTAAAATAATGCTTTATTAACAAAAAAAAAACAGTACTGAACCATACTAGTAGTAGTAGTAGTAGTAGTAGTAATAAAAATTTTGAAATTAACACACTCTAACAAGGAACAATACTTTCATTACACAGCTTTCATTAATCTTAATGTTACAAATGGACTCTTATTTTAAAGTGTTACCATTTCATTTCAACAGTCATGCTTAAAGATGCACATCTTTAAATATATACACAAAGGCCATAGCATTAAAATTATATACATATGGATATTGTATGTATACTCTCACACTTTAACTGCTTCTATGCTTGAAAACTTGATTATCTAATCAAAATAAAAGCGCAGCGCTGAGTCTAGGAGAACTCACCGGTGTCACACACACTCCGGACGCGTCGCGTTCAACTCGAGCAGTGGTCTAAAACAGTTTATTTAATCACCAAACGGACACAAGTTTACTTCAAGAATGAACGAACAATGAGGCATAGATGAGTTTGAAGTTCGGTGTTTAAAAAACGGAGCAAATGGAAAGAGAAAGCGTGATCTATATTATAGCTCTATAAATGAAGCATTAACAACAATTAGGGACAAATATAATGTAATTTAATGGAAAACTATGTGAATGGCGCTCTGTGGCGCGGCAGGATTTTCTGTCGGCTGCAATTTAATCCGCGTCTGAAATTTCCCCTCTGTTCAGCATGCAGTATCACGTGTCTAAACAAATAGCACGTGCTGTCAGTGATTTCAACCACTAGAAGCCGCTCTTGTACTGTATAATGACAGCAGACCCTTCTCAGCCGTTCCAGCAACGGACGCAACCCGGAAAACTATCGGCATGGATTTTTGCCGATAACCGATAGTTCCAGCAAAAAACTATCGGTGCCGATTAATCAGCAAAACAGATACATCGGTCGACCTCTAATATGAACCCAAAGCAAAGGTTGTGTTTGAAATTCAAACACTATTGAACTAAAAGCACTCCTGTTTGCTTACTAAACTGAACCCAAGTCTTAATTGTATTGTATAATGCATACTGTACACAGGTGCTGTATTTACTATGTATTTTATTTGTAAGAGTGAATCTCACAAAACCCGTCAAACCATGTCTGGATTATATTTTACCCCAAAGTCAAAAGAAAAATAAAAGTTGTTATGAAAATCAAGTGCATTTTAGGACAATTAAGATTTTGTGTTACATTGTTTTCAATTAATGTAGTTATTACACTACAAAAATATATTTGACCAGTTTTAAATTATAACAACCTATGAAATCTAATCCTAAAAATATTTTTTTATTTTTTTTCTACATTGAAAATTTAGAACAATTAAAAATAATATTACAGTAAATTTCTACAGTAATTAGTAAAAAGGACTAGGATTACATGAAAGAAAAAAGCATTACATTAATATACTTATTACACTACAAAAATTATACATTTGAGAAAAAAACTCTAAAAAAAACTTTTTAAAAAACTATATATAAAACTACAAAAATTAACAAGTTTTATATTATCTCAATTCATGAAATATTAATGTTCCTTTTAAAAAAATATGTTTTTGTGTGTGTGTGTGTTTTGAGATTCACATGTAATTGGCTTCGTAGCAACAAAGGTTTTAATCAATTCTAATCAGGAGTATCAGTTACAGGAAACACCTGATGTGACTCAAAGTCTCCAAACTCTGTTGTGTCCGATTCTGAATTGTGAAAATCCCAGATCAAGCGTGAGTTGGTTACGTAGCAACAGCTGACAGATCGTCTCACTCTCAGTGATAATGAATATTTCAGGTGTGACAGGTTAACACGTACAGCCCGAGGACTCAAAAACTGTGTCAAAGGTGAAGGTGATCAGATTTCATTCAGGGGGAAAAACGTTCAAGGGAACATTCTCGCTTCACAATAAAACATCACGGTGACTAAACATTTAGTTTTCTTCACATCCATTATACAGCATCACTTCCGAAGGTTAGTAATTAGGTCATTTTCAGCCGTTTGTTGATGTTCAATGCATTATAATTTTGATATTTACATCCCCTGCAGTGACTCCTCCTACATGAGCTTTAAATCGGCAGGTTAATTAGGGGTCTGCTCAACAGGAAATGAGCTCACAGACTCACCATTGATGTCACCACCAGCGCAGGAAAGAAGCCCATGGTCAAATAAAACGCCAGCTCCACTAACTTATACCTGCACAAACACACAAAACACTTGTACTTGATTTGGACTTTTCAATGCAAAATAATTGTGCTTACCTTAAATAAATCACAAGTGGCCTAGTTGTACATTCAACAAAAAAATAATTAAACACTTTGTGCATGTTGATTATCAGTCTTGCCCATAATTAAGGTGTTGCACATAACACTTTTAATCATTTAAAAAAAAAAATACTTTAATATTCTGTATATTAATAATAATAATCATTTTATAAAAAATAACCAATTAATAATTTATAATTTTATTAATAATAACAAATAATACAAATGATAATTTTAATATTTGATGTATTTAAATGCACGTGTCCTCTCTTGGGTGGCTGTACTGTACGTGACTGAGACTTTCAAATTCAACATAATTGCGGTTACTTCACCAGTAATCAAAAGCAGCCTAGTTGTACATTCAACAAAATAAACACATTGCATGTGTTAAAGGGTTAGTTCACCCAAAAATGAAAATTAGGCTGTGTTTT